TGTGCAGGTACGAGATTGTATAATTAAGATTATCACAAAAAAGTTATAAGCAATGCAATATATCAAGAAAAAGAAAAGGAAAAAGTTAATTCACATAGTTGCATAGGTTAACAGTGAAACTTTGACATAAGTCTTCCGCTTAAGCTTCTGTTTCATGTTGCGATTTTGTACTGTATGCATGTTAATAAATCGGTTTGAAATGAGGCATTACACAAATAAGTGCAAAAACCAATATCAAATACTCGTCTTAAAATTTTGATTCTATATTTATTTATAAAAAACGTAAGGTCATGATTTAAATGATATTCATTCGATGACGAAATAACATATCCATGGTGAAAAGATACTCATTTTCAAAATCAAATTTTTTATTCATAAACATAATTAATTTAAAATTAATTCCAACAAATACTCTATATTTATAATTATTTTCATTGGTATTCTATATATATATATATATTTTTTTTTTACAAAGGAGGAGGTAATGATATTATATCGAAAATAAACTCTAAAAAGAGTAATATTTGATAGTGTCGAAGATGATGGAACGAATCAAAATTAATGTGGAAGCCCAATCATAGAAGGTGTGGCTGGAACACTTTGTTGGGAGATGTGCCACAAATCTCCAATATCTAGAGACGTTTTGAAGTGCTTTCGGATCATTTTTATTGGGTGGGACAAACCAATAAAATTAGGAGGGAGAAGAAAAAACAGAGAGAAAAGAGAATAATTTTTTTTTAATCCATATGTCATCCTCTCAATGGAAGGAACACAAAATCTTGGTGCACCCAAAAAAATTTCCACTATCTGCATGTCTGCCAGCTGTCTGTCAATTGAAAATGTTTTCAGTGTTCAATATATCACTTATCAAATATGATAAAAATATATAATATTTTTGTATAATATAAGCTATATTTATAAATTTTTTGTTTACAAATTCTTACAAACTATATTATGTATTATGGGTAATACATATTTAAGTAATATGTACTATCCATAATGGGAAATGACATTGTAACAACCAAGTTGTGTTACTACCATATTACTACCAATCAATCTCACCGTTAGATCGATCATGTTGATCCAACGGTTATATTTATTTCCATCTTTGTATGGTTATGATTTCCAAATTTAAAGTGAAAGCATTAAATATGAAAAATCATAACCATACAAAGGTGGAAATAAAAATAAAGTATTAAATTTGAAAAATCATGACCATACAAAGATGGAAATAAATATAACCGTTGAATCCACATGATCGATCTAACGGTGAGATTGATTGGTAGTAACTCGGTAGTAACACAACTTGGTTGTTACAATATCCTTCCCCATCCATAATACATAATATAATTTATAAGAATTTATAAATAAAAATTTATAAATATAACCATACTCTTTTTATACTATCTTTTTTTTATGATTATTTTTGTTTATATCTTCTTTTTCTTTTTAATAAAAGAATATGTACTGTCGTTGTACCAAAAATAAGCTTTGTCAACCACATTTCTAAAATCCCTCCTCATAAGTTGAGATTGATATGTTAATGGACGATTCATTTTTGATGAGTGAAGACATTCAAGGGTGATGAAATATAGCAGTTACCTAAATTTCAGTTCACTTATACTCTCACTTTAATTTCTTTCATATTTTTCTTTTCACATTTAAATTTTATTTTATTTAAATCTCGATTGCTATATTTTTTATATTAAATTAGACTATAGTATTTTAAAACCAGGCGACAATTTATTTTACTTTCTTAAATAATTATATATCATTCTTAACTTATTTTTATATCATCATTAGAATTTTTTTTTTAAAATTTCATCTATTTTTTTATATTCTACTTAAATTAGTTATATATATATATATATTATAATTGTAATTTTTATAATATTTTAATATTTAATTTGTACATATTAATTATGCATATAAAACAAGATAAAAAGTATTATTTAAATGGTTTAAACAATATTTTACTATGTATTTTTTTAACCTACTTGAGTTTTGGTTCTATAGATTTTTTTTCTTTGATTTTACTTCTTATATTTTCCTCCATTTTTTGTTTTGGTACTTATTGAAGTTATAATTCTTATGTCTATCACTTATTTGAACTTCATATTTTTTATTCATTGATGTATTTCTCCTTGTCTTCTGATCAGATCAATCAAAGATGGGTTGGGTCAAATCATACACGATCGAAGGTTGAAGACTTTGGGCTATGTGTCATAATAAATGGGCTTGAGATTATTTATGTATGTGTAAGGGTTGTTTAACGATTCCGGCGCAATGAAAGAGACTAGGGGGTACCCTTCACATTTATAGCAAGCTTTGTGCCGCCTTTTGTAGGCAGCATACTTTCTTTGGTTATCATGGACTCCTACCTTTCTGTCTCAATTGGTGCCTTTCTGTCTTATTTCTTTGGTGAACAAGTCTATATAATAACATGTCTTAGAGTGGTGGCAAGCTGGAACTGTCTTCCTTGTGTTAGCCCTTATGTGCGGTAGAACTCAGCTTATTACTAAGACTTTCCTTAGCCTTTAACTCATATAAGGCGGCTTAATATTATAATCCGCGCAATGCTTGGTATATGTATACCGCGCAATTGGATCATTGTGCCTTCTCGGGCCCTTTATGGGCTTTAAACCTCACGGGCCTATACATTCATCCAGATCATCTTCCATTAAGGATTTGTCTTTATAATTTCATCCATTAAGGTTTTAGTTCTTAAGAGACTAATATACAAATGAATAAAAAATAATAACTAAAAGAAAAAAATTAGGAGACCTATGACTCAAATGGATTGAAACTATAGAAACTATAAAATATTTATTTAAACCTATTTAACTATATAAATTTAGGGATTAATTTTTATCATATTTTAGGAGATAATTTTATCTCCTACACATACATAAAAGTGTGTAGGGTCATGTGAGGAAAAGAAAGATAAAAGAAAAACACGGGTCCCACACATTTTTATATGTGTATAAGAGATAAAATTTATCTCGTACAATATGAGAAACATTATTTCCATAAATTTATTTTATTTGGTTTGTCAACATACAATATAAGATAATTTATCGTATACAATTCAATGTTATCCGGCATGCCAAATAGACAACAAGAATTAAAATGTGATAATTGAAAAGGTATCATCACGTAGGGTTGGCAACGGGTTGGCTCGTAACCCATAAAAAATGAGTCGGGTTAAGTTGGCAAAAATGAGCTTCCAACCCGACCTGAGCTAGCTCGGAAAAAAATGAGCCAACCCGTGGGTCAAACGGGCCAGCTTGCGGGTTGAGTTGTTTAAAAAAAAAAAATACAAAATATAATATTCAAAAATGGACAAAACCTACACATGTTATCATCGTCTTTCTTCCTTCTCTAAATCTAAGTCCCTAATCTTCTCACTTCCCTGTCATTTTTATATTGTTAGGTTGTGCTGGCTCTGTTTGGTTCAAATATCTTACCCACTTGGTAGCAAGTGATTCTGATTGTTTCTTGATGTTAGTACAAATTTGTTTGTGAAGAAAATTCGAAACTAGAATATTTTGTTTTTATTTCTCATTTTGTAACCCTTTGTTTAAGCTAATGAAAGTCATATAGTTGGTGCATTAATACTACAGGTTCATTTAAATAGGCTGAAAATGAGCCAACTCGCGAGCAATTTTCGAGCCAACTCGCTAGCCAATTTTCGAACCAACTCGCGAGCTATTTTTTCAAGCCAACTCATGAGCCATATTTTTGAGCCAACCCTAACCCGACTCGGGTTGGGTCGGGTTAGGTTTTCTGACTTATTTTTTTTTCGAGTCAACCCTAACCCAATTTATTTTTTCTAATTGCATGCGAATCTAGGTTGGGCCGGGTTGGCCCGTTTTGCCAACCCTATCATCACGCAAGTATTTGTGTTAATTGAAACTAAATTCTTAACAAATGATCTTGAGCATACTCTCCCCACATTTAAGTAAATTGATTGTCTTAATTTTTTTTTTGGTAAGACAGATTATCTTAAATTTTGAATCCAAATATTAAGGTAAGAAATACATCTTCTTAATCAATAAACAGCTTTCTTGAGTTAATAAATAATATTTGTCACCAACGCTTAAATGGTGGCTTTTTTTAGTATTACTCTAGGTATTTTTTAACCTTGAAGAATTTACATGCTTAACAGAAGAAGTTCGGATAAAAAAAAGTAAAATTTTAAAGTAAAATTTCAATGTATTTGCAAATTTAATTTTTCAATATTATTTGAGAATGATATGTAAGAAAACCAAAAATTTCAAGAGCATCCATGCATAGCAACAGAAGATGGGCATGTAAAGTACTGAATGCTTTTTATAATTTTATAAATATTAAATTCTTATATACTTTATTTAATATCTGTTTTTTATTTTTAAACCTATGCCTTAAGGTACTCATCAGCAAAATCCTTTCTTTCATATTTTTTAACCCAAAAAAATTATAAAATAAGAAACGGATAATTTTATCAATTTATCCCTAGTCATGCAAGGCCCCTTCTCTTGTGAAATCAGATGACACAATGACTAATCTCTTCATAAGAGGTAGGAAAACTTTATGAATACATCAGTGGGAATTAAATAGTTATTGGGTAATTAGACCTTATCCCTTTAAAAAGAGGTCCTGTTTTCCAAATTTCACTGCTATAAAATATGGGTTTTCGTTTTATCCTTTAACATAACACAACAAACTTTCCTACTCTCACAACATTTTGTGGGGCCCACACTTTTTAAAACAAAAAAATAAATAAAAAATTAAGGCACGCAAAACGAATCTCTATAACATTACACAATCACTTTTCCTACAACATAACTCTTATAAAACCCATAAAATATACTGGTATATATAGCCAGGATATGAGAATAAATTTATTATTCCAAATTTAGTTACTGACAAAACAATGAAATATTAAAACCAGAGTAGTTAATCAAAAGAAATCTCAATGGCAAATATATAGTATGATTAGGTTTAAAATAGCTAATTAGGTTTTTTGCAAAGGTAAAAGACAATGATAGACAGAAAAAAACAATTGATGAGCGAGGGCATGTGGCCTCTTTCAACTCATCTAGTGACATTACAATGCATATTTCTGTTTTAAGAGTTATCAGAATGAAGAAAACACTGCCTTTTCTAGCTATAACTCACTGAACCATGAAATTTGGTTCTTGACAACCAGCAAACTTCATAATTTGCTTAGCAATCATCCATAGCAAAATCAAATTCACATGGACAACTGTTTGTAAATAAAATTATCCACATCTTATACCCTCGAAACAATTTCATAAATTGGATGCTGTCTCTCAAGAAAATAAACAAAGCATGTTATTTGGACCAAAGCAGACCCGTGAGGAAGAGATCATGGTAACTTGAGTTATGAGAGCTCTCTGCTGAGTTAGTATAAGTTTTCTCCAATTCCTCCTCCTCCAAAATCTCCTCTGATTGACAGTTAAAACTGCAAAACTTTTTCTCATCTCTGCAAGATATAAAATAAATTATAGCTAATGCTTGTGGCTTAACTGAAGAAGTGAGATCTTTGGGACATACCTGTATATGTAAATGTCTTCCCCCTCTTCTAATTTCTTATTACATGAGGAACAAAAGCTCAGAACATTGTCAAGAGGACATGGGGCTGACCCTTCTGAAAATGCAGGAACATGAGAAGATTTGAAAGCAGGTTCTTCCTTCTTGCTGAACTCAGTAAAGTCATTGTTGTGATATTCCAAAATGCAGTCACCAAAAATATGTGTTCGCTTAGGGTTTGGACCATGAGAAATTATACAAGTATAATCCTCAGAAAGCTCTATTTCTCTTGCAGAGAGTGAGCCTACATATCCATTAGTAAAATCAATGGATATTGGAAGTGAACTTGATTTAATTTTTAGAGAATCATCTACTTGTGAACTTCTGCTTGTCACTGCAGGCAAACTCGTTACTGTAGAGGTATTTTCTACAAATAAGTCATTGTTTCCCAAATTGGAGTCTTGATTTGTGTTGATTAATGAAGAAGGCTTAGAGGAATCAGGCAAAGAAATATTACTTTTGAAAGCTTCAGATTCCCAATTGAACTCTTGCTTTCTAGAGACATCATCAAAGCTTTCCACTTCAGATTTGGGACTTTTGGTTTCAGAAGGAAGTGAAAGTACATAGTTTTTGGGTAAGGAATTAGATTTCAAATAAGATGCAAGAGATTCATGGTTGTTCTTTGAGAATTTAAGAATGCCAGTCTTCACCTGTGGTCCAAAAATTATATTTTTCCTCTGAAATTTACCAGGGATCTCATTGTTAAGTTTGGTTTCATTAGCAAGCGAAATTATGATGCCAAGGCCTACTTTACTGCAATCTAACTGCTGCTTATGCCCAGTTTGTAATGATGGTCTAGAAGATTTGACACTAAATGGGTTGCTAAGATTTGAGAAGAGTCTGCAATCCAGAGGAGATGTAGGGCTCCAAGCGGATTCAGAATCTGTAAAACCTTTTGCACCAACCCCCACCTTAGAACCAGCGGTGTGGAAAATTGAGAAGCTTATTTGTGTTGGGCTTAATGCATCACAAGGTAAAGAGAATTTGGAAGAAGAGTTAGCCATGATGAGATCACAAATCTTCCAAATATGATCCTATTCACTTCTTCAGCATAATCCTAGTGCCCAATTCCTCTTAAAAAGGATAAAATCATCATTTCCTTGCTGCATCATATTCAAAAAGCTAAAGAAAACAGCATTCTGTTAATTCCCAGTAAAACAGGAATCATGATCAAAGTTCACAACAACAACAACTGAGCAAGGCATGAAAGAATTGCTCATTCATTTAGCCACACACACAGCTATTTTCCATGTACACAGACATTATAAGCGAAAATGGAACTTACAAATTTAGACAACGATTAGCATAAGAATTATTACAAATTTGTGAATGGCAAAATGCTCTTTTAGCCAAAAAAAAAATCCGGAATCCATTGATAATTTTTGCAACTCAAATTAATATCAGAAAGAGTATTAGTTTCCATTCGCAATAAATGTGATATTTGCTGCACGAAGAGCAAGACAATAATCTAAATATCCATCTGAAGTGTTAAATTTTGAATGGCGAATCTCATGAGATATTAAGCACCCGATCAAATAAAAGCTTTGACAAAGACATTCTCGACAACAGAATGCTTCAAAATCAACTTGGAAAATATAATTTTAAGAACAAAGATCAAGAAACTCGAACACTAGAAAAAACCAAAAAAGGAAATCAAATCAATGCTCGAATTTCTACAGTCTACTGGGTTATTAACGTTCTCCAGCTGTTCAGGATGATCGGATTTTAAAAACAAAAAACAAAAAAGTTTGAAAAAACTGCAATGGGTATATATTTGAAGCTCCAAACTAACAAGTCAAATTTGCAGATGATACCACAAACAAGCACATAAAAATGCAACTCCTAAGAAGAATACCAAAATCCAATATATTGGTTGCAATTTCAAAAGATCTTTTTTTTAAAACAGAGGATTCATCAAAAGCTCAGAAATCAACATGAAAAATCAGCTTATACAGTCTGATTGAGAAATCTCGCAGAAGCATCAAAGGGTCTCTGATTAATACCCAAAAAAATTGAAAAAAAAAATGTTTCTTTGATGAAAAACCACTACACATTCTCCCAAATGAACTCCAAAACCATCCATACACATCTGGAGAAGCAAAACAGGAATCAAATAGGTCAGAAATCAAAGTACACAAAGCAGATAAATTTACAGTAAAGGGACCTACTTTCATCCAATCCAAGAGAAACCCAAATGCAGAAACCTTGCAGTGATGAACATCAGCAGCAAAGACCAAAACCTACTTACTGAGCATAAAACTCTCTTTGCATTTTCCTTTCTTTGATCAGAACAACTTTTTTAACTCATCTTCCTCTTGCATGCATCAAAGTGAGAGAAACACTGAAACTCCAACTCTTCCGATATACTCTTCTCTCTCTTTCTGTCTTTCTCGTCTCCCTCTCATGATTGAGAGCTGCAGATACGTACAATACATGTACACCGTATATGCATAAAAAATTGTGTGAAAGTGAAATATTATATGTTATTTAATTTTATTTAATTTTTAACCATGTAGGATGGAAAAGTCCAAGTGTAAGTAAACATTAAAAGCTAACACTACGGTAATAATAATAAAAAATGATACATTAGTTACTCTACTGTATACTAAATAAATAGCTTTTAATAATTTGAAATTTACTTACGGTGAGATATTTTAATTACTAAAAATTCTTACTACTAACTTACTACCTATCACATCATCATTGAATCAAAGAGAGAGAATGTTAAAAAAAAATTGAAGAAAGAAAAAATATTAATCTAATGATGATTAGATAAATAGTAAGTTAATAGTAAAAAAATTTGGTAGTAAAAATATCTCTCCTATTGGTTCGGTTCTGCTTAATAGTTTGGAATTTTGGATAGTTTTCTTCTTTGTTCAGGTTTTTGGGAGAGTGAATTCACAACTGCACATTCTGTGTGGGTCCATGTACCACGAACTTCAATTTCAAGGAAATGAATACTTTGTGATTATTTCTTTCTTCAGTAGGGATAATTAAATTTTACTTATTTAATATATGTAAAAAGAGAAATAAATATAAAAATTTCACAATCATATAAAATTTTAATACGAAAGGATTTACTCTCAACTTCAGCAAACATAAAAAACAAAAAAGCAATATTACCAAAAGCCAAAAAAACGCCTTTTAAGTTTTTGATGGTGTTTGAAGCATTTCATCTTTATTTTAGAGTTTAAACTTTAAACTTTAAAGCACCTGGGTTCATGAGTATTATTTATTTATTTTTGTCGCATTTTTTTTTATAAAAAAGTGGTTTGAGTTTAATTAACTTAGTTTCTTCCTTGTCATGTATCAAAACTCAAAGGATATTATTAGATGTATGCCAGAAAAAAAACATATTATTAGAATGTTCACTGAAAAAAAAAGGTAATTTTCATCATAAAATTTTAGTACCGAAAAATTGGTTGAAACGTCAATTATAGAGCAACAGCATGGGTAACATCACCTACCTTCATGATTTTGCGGGTCCCATATTTCTGAGCATCGAGATACAATATCAAAATTTGGATTAAACTCTTTACAAAAATATAAGTAAATAAATATCAATATGTCGTAATTTTAATTTATTAAAATTTATTTATTGATATATTTTTACGAAGAAGATTATATTTATTATCATTTTAAGTTTACTATTCTTATTATATAATTGGTTACCATTTGATCAATTTAAAATCAACAGCTCAAAAATGAGAAAAATTAGTTGCTGTTAATTTTAAATTAATCCATTGATAACTAATCAGGTTATAAGAATGATGAGCTTAAAATGATAATAAATATAATTTGCTTCTATTTTTATTTATCTATTTTATAAATAAAATCCATTTAAATTATGGGCTTTTGATTTCTCTTACAAACTTAGAATAATAATAATAAATTGCATGAAAAGCAAGCTCTCAAGAAGAGACTTCTCCCTCAACTACAACAGGAGAAGTCATTTGCCCCCTAAAATATACTAAATATCTCCAAATAAACACTTACGATGATATTTAAACGACATGCTCAAGAAAAATTATTAATGAACAATACCAACAACAAGGTAATATTGGATAATTGTTTATTATATTGTAAGAAATAATTTTATTTGCTACATAAATTTAAAAGTATGTGAAATTCATATTTTTTTATTTTTCTTCTCTTCGCATGACCTTATACACTTTCATATATATGTACGAGATAAAATTATCCCCTACAATATGAGAAACATCAATCCCTTAATCTTATAAGTCAAACAAATTATTAGTGACAAACTTATTTTTTTATTTTGGGAATAACATCTGTCATTTTAAAGGATATAAGCTTATATCATTTTAGATCATAACCTTTGATTTCCGTCCATCAACGATTATAATTTATTGGATCAAAATTATTAATTAATTAATAATAAATTTAGCCCATTAAGTTTGACCCAATAGATTATAACCGTTGATGGACGGAAATCAACAGTTAGGATCTAAAATGATATAAGTTTATATCCTTTAAAAGGATATATATTTTTCTCTTTTATTTTTATTTTATATCACTTTTAAAATATACATTACGGTATTTAATACTTAAAAATATTTTAATGAGAAAAGTAACAAATAAAATAACATATATCACCAAAAGAATGTATACATGAAGAATTTTATGGACCTATGTTGACGAACTTGGCAAGTGCACCGGTTGTACAAGTAATAAAGTGATAAGAAAGTTGTCGATCCCACGAGGACTGATGACCAAGCAATAATTTATTTATTTAACTAAAGTTGGATCGATCATTAAAGGTTTTCTTGAGAATATTGTGATTAATTTAAAAACAGAATTTGTAAACTATTTTTGATTTTTAATATTTTAGAAATTAAATTCAGAATTAATTAAAGCTAAAAATTGATTTAAGTTTTCAATAAAAAACGTAGCTAGGATTCAACTTCCTCAATGGTTTCTTAATGAGTTTGCTTATTCTTATGATTACATTCAAGATCAAATTATTAACAGCTCTTTCTATTATTGACTAAATCTCAATCCTTTGGTAATCTAATCCTTTATTCTAATCCAAAGCCTAATCCCTTAGTACTTTTTCATAAAATAAGCATTAACGCAAGAACTCATAGTTATAAAATCCTCTATCCCTATATCAAGCAAATTCCAGCAATCAACCAATCAGAATCATATACCAACATCCATATTGTCATATATGACTGATATGTTTATCTACGAGTGATCAAGTCATAAATAAAATTAATCATAAATATCGGATTGATTGCATAATTCAAAAGCAAGAATATAATTCATAAGAAATAAACAAACATCAACTAAGAACCCATTGGTTCTGTATCTTCCTAACTACAAAAATAATTTAGCTTGACATAATCATAAAGACAGAATTAAAATATGCACTAAAAGAAATTGAGTTCATGATAAAACTTGTCTAAAAGTGATGATCAATGATGCAGAACTGCTTCCTTCCTTCTCCTCTGCAATGATCTAGTGTTCTCTTCGGCTCCCTCCTTCGCTTCGTCTCGGTCTCTGATTTTCCTTCGCGTTCCAGAATGTCCTTTCACGGCTTCCTTCGCTTCGTATTTAAAGGTTGAAATTTGGACTTCTAAATTTTGGACCCGCTCGCTAAAGCGAGCTGCTTAGCAAGCAATTTTTTGCTTGTCGCCTGCTCACTCGCTTGAGCGAGGAGTATGGCGAGCTTCAATATTTTGCTCGCTCACTTGCTCGCTTCAGCGAGCAGTGGAGCGAGCGTTACATTTTTTCATTTATTATTTATTTAATTTCTGATTTTCCTCATGCTCCGCGGATTCCATTGTTGCCTCGTCCTTATCATATTGGTACTTTGTTATTCTAGTCTAAACAACCTGAAACAACAACAAATATTTAGAATCTTATCTATTTGTTGGCAATTCATTCTGTTTTATTGTTTTACTGTTTTATTATTTTAACACTATATTTTTAACTATTTTAATAATTATTTGAACTCTTTTTAACCATAAAAACATAGTGTCTTGGACACTTATCAACCTATATCTGAGGCCCACTATTATTAAGCCCAACAAGAGACAATCCAAACATAAATCAGACATAATTAAGGAAAGATATTCATCAAGTATACCAATCCTAATAGGACAGCATAATACATGGGTTTGGGCAGTTAGCAGAAGCACTAAAAGTCCAACACTCAATACCCACATGTAAACTCTATAAATAAGAGGTAAAATCTACAGCTTTGTTTGAGAGTTTGGAGGGGAAGGTAAGGAAGGGGATCCAAGGGGGAGGGAGGGGAAGAAAATTGGAGGGTATTTTCTTCTCTTATTTGGGTGTTAAAAAATGGTAAGTGGAAAAAGTGGAGGGATAATGAGATATTTTAGCGTTTTAACCATTTTTAAAAATTAATATAATTATTATATTTTACAAATTAAATTAAATTTTAAATTTCTAACAAAATTATTTATGTACTTTTCACACTACTAAAAAATATCATATTTTCAACGAAATTTCTACGTTACAAATGACAAAAATTATATAGAAAAAGTATTTTCCCGTCGAAAAATACTTTCCATTCACAGGCGACAAAAATTTGTATCCGTCGAAATTTTTTACAAAAATAAATTTTCTGTCAAAATCTATAATGGAATTTAGTTTCTGTCAAAAGTTTTGACGAAAATAAATTCTTAAATATTTTCGACCAAAAAAAGAATTCCGTCAAAAATTTTGACGAAATATTTTTCGTTTAAAATTTTCGATGGAAAAGAGTTCCGACGAAAAGTTCGACAAAATTATTTTAATAAAAAAATTTTAGGGAAATGTTTCGGTCGAAACTTTCGACGAAATTTAGATTCCGTAAAGAATTATGACAGAATATTTTTTCGTCAAAAGCTTTAACGAAAATATATTTCGTCTAAACCTTTCGATGGAAATATGTTTTGTCAAAAATTTCGATGGAATTTAGATTTCATAATTTGACGAAAAAAATTTCTATCAATTTTTTTTTTACCGAAATATTTTTCGTTAAAATTATTTATAGAAATATTTTTCGTCAAAAAATTTCGATTGAAATGTGTTTTGTTGAAAATTTTGATGGAAATATTTTTCGTCAAAATTTTTGACAGATATTTTTTTTGTCAAAATTTTTCTGCGGAATGATTCGAGGAAATTTAGATTTCGTAAAGAATTTTGAGGAAAAAAAATTTCTATCGGAAATTTTTACAAAAATATTTTTCGTAAATTTTTTTTACATAAATATTTTTTGTCAAGAAATTTCGCTGTAAATGCGTCCCATTGAAAATTTTGATGGAAATGTTTTTCGTCAAAAATTTTGACGAAATTATTTTATGTCGAAATTTTTTTATGGGAAATGTGTTTCGTCAAAATATTTTGTCAGAATTTTTTTTCGTTGAAAAGTTGACGAAAATATTTCTATCGAAAGTTTCGACGGAATTTAGATTCTACCAAAAATTTTGCTGTATTTTTTCCCCTCGAAAATGTATGTAAGTGTTTATGACAAAATCTTGTAGAGTCTCTAATTTCGTCTCTAGTTTTGATGGAAATTTTTTTTGTCTCTGTTTTCGACGTAATATGATTTTTGTCAAATATTTAGTCATTATTTTCAATGAAATTTTTTTCATCGTTAAATTCTGTCGGTATTTGAGACTTTTCTAATAGTTTCACATTTGTGTAGTTTTCATATTTTAATGCTAAGGATGAATAAGTAAATTTTAATATTTCCCCCATCAAACCCCTCAAATTGGGGGAACTTTAATTTTAAGGATGAGAGGGGTTTTAGAGGATTTTGCAAAAATCCTCAATTCCCTTCCTTCATTTTTTTAAACTCACAAACAAGGAAAAGGAGTAATAAAATCCTCTCTTTCCTTTCCTTTCCCTCATAAAACTAACTCCCAACAAAGCCATATGCACGCTCTCTCTTACTGTTATGTTGTCACTGTGTGCGCTCACACACACCTTTGGCAAAGCCGTATATTATTCTTTGTGCGCAGTGATCTACTTGACTCAAGGGCATCTAATTCATAGATACCTTAAAGAGGGCACCTAGATCCAAAAGTTACATACTAGCCCATTGGGCTAGACATTTCTGTCACTAAGACAGAACAAAGAGGATTTTCATTCTTATATGAATTCAATGTTTCTGTTTTTTCTGCAAAAAAAAATTATCTGTCACATTCACATAAAAATAATGAACCTCGTTGTAAAGAAAAGATATAAAAAAATTAGTGGAACCCATTCATTTTTATATGAATGTGGCAGAAAAAAAAATTCAGCAAAAGCATAAATATTTGGGGCAGGATATACTTACCACAAAAATGTTTACCATATTTACAACCAATCTAATCACTGTTGATTTCTGTCAATCTAACTGTTATAATTTATTGAGAATTAATAATTAATTAATAAGTACATCCCAATTATTTCCAATAAAATATAACCGTTAGACGAAAATCAACGATGATTAATTTAGTAGTAAGAGTTGTAAAACTTTTCAGTAGTAAATATAACCTCCTTTTGTAATATTTGAAGGTTATTTTTCCTGTTTTTAAAAAATATATACAAAAATGTAAATATTTAAAATAATACTTGTAGTTTTGTTTTTATTTTAACTTGTGACTTAACCATCTTACTACTAAAAGCTAGCTCAAAGAGTGGGAGTATCCAAGACCTTATAAACTTCACATTAGTTGCACATACAACCAATGTGGGACTATATATCTCAACATACCCCCTCACACGAGAGCCCATGGAGCTTGAAGAGTGGACAATGCAACATGTCCAACTACCTGTGCTAAGAAACGCCACAAGAGAAAGTGGGGGGCAGCAAGGCTCTGATACTATGTAAAGAACCAATTCAACCCAAAAGCTTAAGCTGTTGGATAAGATTACATTAATGATTTTATATATCTCAACATATTCATAGGTCTTAACTTTTAACCTATCCAATACATTGTTTATACCGAGTGATTTATAAATTAACGTAATTCTTCGTTTATAAGGCTTGACATATGCATATATACTTTTTTTAGTTGGGAGCATCTTTAGGACCCGGAAAAAAACAACCAATATGAAACAACTAGAGAAGAAAGAGTTTTTGATAGTTACTAACTTACTATACAACAACAATAAAACTTTCTCCTAACAATAAAAAAAAAAATGTTAGATAGTAACATGAGAAATGTGTTAAACTTGGGCCGTTTGAACCAACAAAGCACCGATATACAATTTTTTTAAAAAAATATGCGTTGAATACCGATATATTCTGACACGTATCCAACGTACGGTCAATATTTTGTGATATACGATCAATGCTTCGACACATGTTCCTGACACGCGATCAAAACTCCGACGCACGATCAAAACTCTGACGCACATCTGCATATTTTTTTTAGGTCTAAATTTTATTTTATTAATTAAACATAAAAAAAATTATAAATCAAATTTTTTGTTACAAAATTTGTCATGAAAAATTATCAAAGTACAAAAAATTATATTTTCTTTATATTTATGTTATGAAATTTTAATATTTAATTAATTATATGACTTATTATGAGCTCATATATCTATCAAATATAAATTATTATATATTAAAAATATTATTTAATATTAAAACGTGTCCTAACGTGTCAAAATATGATATTTTTTAGAATTAACGCATTAACATATTATGTCATGTCCCGTGTCAGTGTCCGTACAACGTAAGTTTGAACCTTAAAAGAAGGTTCATTGATTCGACTAGTAGTCAGTTGTCACCAACGCCCTAACTCATTGTCTTAAAGAGAAGTTTTTAATATGGATGAGCAAATCAAATAATGCGCCATTATCGTTGCAGATTTCTTAGCTCTAACTGTAAGCTGCAATCGTAATTGTATTAAGCAAGCCTCATCCACTGCATGCCGCCTCAACATTATTAGAACGTTCCTCAATGGCTCAATATTAAAACAAACCAAAGATGATCTAGAAGCTCAAATAAATACTGTGTATTCATATACTATTGGTTCTCTACGGACATGATTGCCAGGGCCCAGGGTTCCGTTACTGTGTCCACTCTAATATAAGTGGGAAAAACAGAAAGAAAAGTGATATTAGTTGCATGAGTATGTGTCCAGATTGTGCAAATTTTGAGCTAATAAATAATTAAGTAAAATTTATTAGTTTCTTTAATGACATAAAAGGGATTGCGAAGATTAATATATCAGAAATTTCCTTACCCAGATTGATATCAACTATATTTTTTAAGGTTTCTCTACACAATAATATATGTTTTTTTTTTTTTTTTTTTTAGTTTTTGAAACATATACGGAAATTTGCACATTTTTCTTGAATGGTTCCTAAACCTTACCAGCAGAAAATTTGGATCCTTGCATTCAAAATCATTATTGAAATTCAAGGGTATTGATTAATAAGCATTGATAGAGTCAGTCAAAAAGGCAATACCAGGTAGCTCTCAGGACCCTACCATTTTACAATCTTCATCAACATTACCAACTGCCTCAAGTATTGAAGAGTAGGTGATGAGATCATACTGGAATCCTTTTGAACTCATTTCTTTCATAAGTTTTGCTGCCTCTTCAAACAGACCTGCTCTGCTAAGACAACCAAGAATTGTGTTGTAAGAAACCGCATCTGGCTTAATAGTAGAATTTTTCATTTTTGTGAACATTTCCATAGCACGCTTGGGGCCACCTGTCCTAGCCAAGCCATTTAGGATAATATTATGAGAATTTATATCTGGGGTGCAACCATTTTCTTCCATAGTTCTAAACAAGGAAAAGGCTTCATCTATCATGTCTGCCCTTACTATCCCAGTCATGAGAGCATTATAAGCATAAATATCAGGGGTGCATCCAAGTTTTTTCATCTCATTAAAAAGATTGGTAGCTTCATTGAGTCGCCCACATTTTCCAAAATGCTTAATCATTACAGCATACACACGAGCACTTGAACGTCCACAGTTCTCTTTCAATTCCTGGAATAGCTCATTTGCAGCCTCATAGCGTTTTGCTCTTCCAAGGCTATTGATCAGGCTGCAGTAGGCAGCAGGACAAGGTGGAAAACCTTTTTCATCCATCTCCTCAAGAAGCAACAAAGCCTTCTCAACTCGATTTGTTTTGCAGAAACCATCAATGAGAATTGAATATGTAAATGAGCTGGGGACTATTCCATCCTTTTTCATACTCTCAAACCATGAAGCAGCCTCGGAAGGTGGAGCTTTGGCTTCAAATAAAGATTTGATAATGGTATTATAAGTCACAACATTAGGCGCGCAATTCAGCAATTTCATTTCATCAAAAAGCTTAATAGCATCTTTTAAGCGATCTGATCTACCCAAAATGTTAATCAAATTATTCATCAGAACGACATCAGGTTTACAACCATCTTTCAGCATATTCTTGTATGTTATGTATGCGTTTTCAACCCTCCCAGATTTCCCCAGTCCCCTTATCAATTCTGTATAAGTAAAGACAGTTGGGGAACACCGCCGCATTCTCATCTCCTGGACAAGGCCCAAAGCTTCCTCAACCCTACCCAACTTAAAGTATATTCCCATCAAGGTTGTATAAATTTTTGCTGTAGGCTGTAATCCATTCTCCTTCATCTCATCAAATAATCTAATGGCAGACTCATCACGATTTAGTTTTGCAAATGCTGATATAAGTGCACTATATGTAAATGTGTCAGGGAAACAATGGCCCTCACTGCACATTTCATTATACAGCTCATGGACTTTTTCATGATGTCCCTCCTGCATCAGCATCAAGATGACGGAGTTGTAAGTGCTTGCTGTAGGTCTGCACTTGCGACCCTTAACCTGGTAAAAGACAGATAATGCCTTGTTGACCATCTTTGCCTTGCCCAAGATTTTCACAGTTTCAGACAATTCAGCAGGATCAATTGCACATGGACTTTTAACCATGTCTTGTATTGTCTTCCACAGTTCACCAACCAGCCTATTTTCATCCAAGCTGCGTATCAAAGCCATATAAGTGGTTGAGTCATGTTCAAAATTCCTTCTCTTCCCAGCCCACTTGAAAAACTGAATCTTAACATTGACCTCAACATCTATCTTTAGAACCTCACGAACCAAGCGAGCATCGACCTTCAGCTTCAGCACTTCCAATGCCTTTTCTGCATCAGGTCCCCATTTAAATATTTTCAAAATCCTAATGAATCTCTCATCCAAAACCCGAGCACCAGAGTCCTTCCTCAAAACCCACCCTCCTTTCATGGGAAGGCCATTGTTTCCTTCTTGGGAATTAGGCATGCGAAACATTTGGACAATCTCATTTTCTGCTAGTTTAAACCACACACAATCAGATATAATTAAAAGTTGCATATATGTAAATCAAACAAATTCAGATTTCCTTCATTAACAAAGTTAATAATAGACAAGGAAATTAACAACAACAACAACAACAAAATTCAAGTTGATAACAAACCCATTTCTATAAACTAAGTATCTAATTATAAATGAATACAACCTGTTTGCTTTATTCTCTGAGAGACATGAGGCCAAGTTGATATCCTCCTCCTTGCAGCAATGAATCTAGCAAGCATTGTTGCTACCTACCCCTGAAGGCTGGAGATGCCTCGGCCCTTATGCTATGCCAAAAGCTATCAACTTGCTTCCCTGACACTGAAAGTAACAATTTTTCTCTCTCATTTTATGTGGGTACCAAGCAAACAAAACATGAATTTGAAAATCCCTTGTAAAAGGGTGCTTTAAAATTCAAACAGTGCCATCCAACCTCCTTTGTTACTGGATTGGATTCATAGTTCATGTATGATGTAGATTTCGAAGAACGCTAATAATCCCAAAACTCAAATCGTTCATTTATAATCCAATTCGCAATCCTTCTCTTCCATTTTTCCTGCTTCACACCATCGACCAACCAATAGCCGAAGCCCGAAAGCCCAAGAACGAAAGCGTTTCTTAGCAAAATAACCGAGCTTTAATTACGTGGGCTTCTTGTAAAACTGTGATACACAACTAAATAATTGCCTACTTTTATATATGGAAGAATTGTTTATCATTTTTAAACGACATAACAATCGTCCTTTTAAGAGGGAGAGACACAGAAAAAAAAATTTATTTAAATTTTAAATTAGAAAAAATCACCCACTTCCTCTCTCCCATGATTTCTATTTTTCTGTATCTATCTCTCTCCTAAAATGACATAACTTATGTTATTTAAAATGACAAACATTTTTCTCGTATATATATACATATATATATGTGAAGGTTCTTTTGACTCCAGAGTAAGACTTTTAAGTCTTACTCCTCATTTTACTCGTTGATGGACGGAAATTAACGGTTGTCATTTGTATTATAATTAATATGACTTCCTAAACTATAATCGTTGGATGAACGAAAATCAATGACTGAGATGAGGACTAAGACTTATAAATTTTACTCTGGAGTCAAATGATCTTTCTCTCTCTATATATATACATATATATTTCTGCAGCCGCTTCACGTACAACAACAATAGATATATGGTTATGATCAAGGTAGTCAAAATCGAGATTTTAACTAAAATCGGAAAGGGAATAAAAAATTGTAAATCGTAAAATCGTAATACAAATCGTAGATTTTACCTGCACTCTAAAATTAAATTTTTATATACATATGCTTATGTATAAAAAAAATTAAGAAAAAATAGACTACCTGCCACCATCCTTATACATTTGCATACAATTGTCACACTCTAAGGGTCTAAGCTAATAAATCATTCAAATTATTATCATCGAAGACATTCTGTTCCACATGATCCTCAACTACATCATTCAAAATTGTCTTTATCTAAACTTTCATCATGAGATAAAGTTCCTTCATTTTTCACAATCCATTCATCTTCGGATGAAACATCAGCAATGTTATATTCAACAATTTTTCTAACTTGAACAATTTTTAAGATTTAAATCCAGATTTTAACTACCATGGTTATGATTCCCCACATTTAATGCTTTCATCCTTTGTATGATTATGATTCCCCGTATTTGGTGCACGTATATATAGGGAAAAGTGTTTCTGCAGATAAGTTATCTGCACGTATTTCTATAAAGACATCGTTTTGATATTGAAATTTTAAAAAATTATAAATATAAAGACTATTATAACCCTGAAATAAATTAAAATTATAAAAATATCATAGTTTTCGCCTCAAAACGACGTTGTATTGGCCTTACTGCACATAAGTTATCTGCAGTAACTGCAGAAAAAGCGAACACATATATATATGGCTTTAATGTTTCTACAGTGAATGTAGATAAGTTATCTACATTCGTTCTCAAAACGACGTGAAAAATAAAAAAATTATAATAAAATAGACTATCATAATAAAATAAATTATTATTACAAAAATATCGTGATTTCTGCTTCAAAACGACGTCGTTTTGGACTCAATGTAAATAAGTTATCTACATTGACTGTAGAAAAAACGAACCTTATATATATATATATATATGACATATTAGATTTTATTAGTATTTATTAATATATTTGTGTTTTGATGCATAGTAATCAGGGAAAACATCAACAAACATAATTGTCACTGCCAAAAGAAAAACTTCTGCCGAAACAATACGAATTTTTAAGCAAACAATTATCTTTATATTTAAACAAGAGAGATACATATAAAACGCTATTACTCATTTTCAATAAGCTTGTATCCTCTAATAGCTGCAATTACCTCCGCGTTGTTAAACCAACCTGCACCCCAAGGCTTAATCCAATTAAACCCCGCTCCGATTTACTTCTAAACTTCCTTGCATATAAGAAATTAAAGACAATTCATATAACGTACTATGGATAATGCCAAGCAAAATAGAAATTGGAATATTTAATTTAAATGAAAACAAACATTGTAATTCCACTTGTAGAAAATGGTACACAAATAACCTAAAAAACTAGAGAACGTATTTTTTTTTTAAATAAAAAGAAAAAGAAAAAGATCCCACAACATGATATTTAATAAAACTAGCATCCCAGCAACCGCTCACTGTCAACTCATCAAAACCTATTTTCTCATGCACAATTCATATTCTTGTACAAAAGGTAGAGAGAGACTACTCGAGATGTCATGAATTTCAGAGAAAATTCAACAAACAAAATTAGGCAGAGCCTGCATTCTCTGACTTGTCAGTCTCCATTGGTTCAGTAGAGGGTGGTGGGACCTGATTACCACTGTCCCCTGCATTCTCATTGGTGTTAGCATCAGCATTCTCCTGAGGTTGCTGCTGCTCACCACCCTGAGGTGGCGGGGTTGCTGGTGCTTCTGGAGTAGCTGGCTTGGCTGGCCTTGGTTTCATCATAATCGGCTTACAGAACCTATTACCAGAAACAGAAAATAGATAAACAATGAACAAGGTTAAATCTAAATACCAACTAATCATAGCAAAAACTTAAACAAATACCTATCAACAGCCTCGGCTTTCTTTCTTATTTCAGTTGACAAGAGTACAGGGGTGGCATATTTTGGAAGCGAGTCCTGTTGCTGCTTCTTCTCCCTAAGCCAGTTCTCAGCTTCCACACATTCATTTAAGACCTACAAACAAATAAATTGGAAAAAACCATCAGATTAAATGGAAACCAGAACGTAACAGGGCGTGCGGAAATTGAAGACAAATTACCTTCTGTTTCTCGTTTATGTCAATGTGATCAAACTTGGGATCATTTGACATCGCAGCTTCTCTGTAACTATTTACGCAATAGATGAGTTGATCAATTATTGTACCCCTCTCCATGTAATCTTTGTAACGCTCTTCAATTGGATCACCTTGCTGCAATTGTGTAAATCTCCATTAGGATTGCAAAAACTAAAATTAACACGGGAATATACCTCTTTCACTTGTGTTAGGTGCAAAACAACATAGAAAAGACAATATGTGCACAAGGTGCGTCTCTTATCACTTCGTTTTAGATATGTTTTATGCTTTGACATCCAACAACAACCAAGCCTTATCAGACCAGGCAAGCTGGGGGCAGGGATTTTGTAATCCCTAAAATTTCTTACCTTCTTGAGCTCCTCTAGTTTGGCAACATATACGCCTTTAGTTTCATCTTCACCCTCCTCATATAACCAGTCTTCCACCTCCTGAAGCTTAGCAGTAAGATTTTCCCTGTCTGAAGCAATGACAAATTCTTGATATTTGTCATTAAGCTGAAATGACAACAAGAAATCTGTGAGCATTAATCGAATATCCAACCTCGAACAAGAAGAAAAACAAGATCATCCTCACCTTGTTTCTCATGTCATATACATAAGCCTCAACTGCATTTTTCTTGTCTTTTGTTTCCTCCATCACCCGATCTTGCAAAGCCATTTCAAACTCCTTCTCTACAGCTTTCTGGACATCCAGAGGTGCCATCGCTCCATAAATTACCTCTGCCACTGGAATGTCTGTTTTCTTCACTTTTTTCTTTGGAGCCTCAACCTGTAATAATCACAGCCAGTCATATTACAAACTACCAATGGTCCATGCTTGACAACTTAACTGAAGCATAAAGTTCAACAAGCACATAGTACATTACGTATATGCATGATCATATTCTGCAGTATATTTAAAGGAAGCTGAAGACATAGAGCACTTTTGGTTTATTATCTTGTTTTCAAGGTTGTTTTCACAACTTCCTTTAAATAATTCAAAAAAAAGGAGACAAAATGAAAGGTCGCATTCTTGTAATTATAGTGGAAGAAACATATCCATTGTAAATGAAAATTAGAAAATAAATCTGATACGGATGTGCCGCATAATAGATTTGGGAGAGTGTTTTACAGCTTGCAATTACCAATGCAAGTCAGCAACAATTGGTTAGCTGGGAATTAGAGAGTCACACCCATCTTACGTGACTGGTTATTAATAGGAAGGGGGGAATCAATTGGAGGCGTTTTGGAAAGTTGGGACTCTTGGACTCGTGGGAAAAAACCAGAACCTCTTGAATTGTTTTGGATATGAGTGCTGTATTTTGTTAATTCTCAGTCTTGAAGCTTTGTTGTTTTGTAATTTCCTTTTCCATTTCTTGTAAATTTTCCTTGAAGTATTTTGATATGTAATTAGCTATCTTCATTTACCAGTATTGTAATTTTTCATATCAGTAATGCAAGTTTACATTTCCATTCAGAAAATCACAATTGTTGCTATTTTTCTGCTTATAAATTTGAGGTCTCCATCAAAATCAAACGAGCTTACATTCCGCAAGGAAAAAACATTAATTAAATCCATACAGGAAAACCCAAACACAAAGAAATACTATGATAAAACTCAACAATGAGAGAATATTTGCTACAGTCCTCAGACGAATGCTTAAAAAATTTAAGATGTCATAATATCGCCTTAGTTATCAACACCGACTAGTTATGATTCATATAAGATCTTAGCACCCCCAACTCTAAACACAATAACCAAGCAATGACATCTAATTGATGTAAATACTGCTCATCTAATGATCATTGGTTTTCCATTTTTAAAAGCAACAGTGCAGACAGAAAGCCATAAAATATCATTACTAGCTCACAATATCTATAAAAAAAATTCATGTCAGAAAATTGAAAAACAATATATTTTGAGCATGTCTATATTTCCTTTCATCATCTACCTTGGTATCAGTATCCATTTGCATAGGCTTGTCTCCAGTCTCAGGGATTCCATTTTCAGCCCCAGGGGCATCAGCAGTTGCCTTAGCATCTTGCATATTAACATCATTGTCATTAGGGCTGGGAGGTACAGCAGCATCAGCAGGAGCTTCGTCAGTTTCCATCCCAGCACTTTCTCCTGCTGATTCTTTGGAAACTGGAACCTCAATTTCTTCCTCTTCCAGGAGCTTAACAACAACAAAATAAAAATGAAATAAATTTAGTAACAAAAGCTCTGAATTTACTACAAAAATCTCACAAGATATTTATGGTGAAAAATATAATAAGAAATACAGCAATCACTAAGCCCAAGAAGACTTACAATTGCTGACTCAACAGATACAATTCCATGCAAATTAAGACGAACTTTCACTCTAATTTTTGCCTTCTCACTTTTTGTAGATTGGAAAGGGCCAATCTGCACATATTTAAGAGTCAAAGAACAGCCAAGAGGGAAAAAACATTCTAATAAAGAAGATAACTTGAAAACTGACTTACAGTATATGTGCTGATCTTTGCAGGTGTTCGCAAATCACTCGCATCATCATATTGCACATCAGCAGAAAAGGTTCCAGACCTGTAAAATGTCAGAGCCTTGACACTTGGAATGGGATTTCCCTTAGGGAAAACAATGGTACTTAGCTTATTATCAGGTCCACTATCCTGTGCATCTGGACCAGAACCTTTCCACGAAAGAGAAATAGAGAAAGGAAAGCTTTCGTTGACCTTCATATTATGAAATAAAACAGCAGCATTATATCAGACATAATACCAATTACATGAACAAATCACTGAAAGGAAATGAAAATCAACAACAACGAAATATACTGAAATTTAAAATCCCAAAATAATCTTAAACTAAGGGGGATACCAGAGACAAGCAAATTAAAGTATATAACATGTACCCAAAACACAACAAATGCTGAAATTCATAATTCAGACCTAAACAGTTATACACTGAATGAGTTTTAGACATGTAGGAGGGCCTTCTGAAAAAGAGAATGATGCATACCTGAAACTCTCGTACTTTAAAAGTCGGACTGAGAATCGCACACTGCAACGCACAACCCCTAGCAACACACTCACTAGCATTCATTGTACGCCTAGGCTCCTTTTTGAAAAACTCTGTCAATATTTTGTTTATAGCTGGTACACGAGAACCTGAACCAACCACCTCAACCATGTGTACATTCTCAATTGTAAGACCTGCTTCTGCAAGAGCCTTCTCCAAAGGTCCCTTCACACGCTCCAAAATTGGAAGACTTAGTTTCTCAAACTCATCACGCTTGATAAATCCCCTCACATCCTTCTCATCCATTAAGCACTCAATGTTCAGAGGTGCCTCTGGATTCGCACTAAGCATCTTCTTCAGCTTTTCACAAGCAACCCTCAGCCTTAGACAGGCCCTAGCGTTCTGGAAAACATCAATCTTGTACTCCTCCTTAAATTTTGCAGCAAAATGATGGAACAGAACCTCATCAAAATCCCTACCGCCCAAAGACCTATCATATTGATGGGACAACACTTTCAGCTGCCCCTTTTTAAATCCAGCAATGCACACTTGCATGCTAGCATGTCCAATGTCAACAAAGGCAACATTCAGCTGATCATTCTCAGGAAGATCAGTCTTATAAATTCCATAAGCCAAGGCAGTTGCTGTTGTTTCATGAAACAGGCGAAGTGGGTGCAAACCAGCAATAGTGGCTGCATCCACGACTGCCCTCCTCTGAATATCAGTAAAATAAACAGGAATTCCAATGCAGCAATCAACAACGGCTGCATTCAGATTCTTCTGGGCTATTTCTTTAAGATTTGAAAACATCATTCCAAGGACTTGGGTCGGTGTAAATGTTTTAGCTTCACCAAGGTACCTTGCATGAATTAAAGGATATCCATCAGGCCCTTCAGTGACAACAAAAGGCAATGACTTCAGATCCCGCTGCAATTCTGGATCGGCAAATTGTTTACCAATTAACCGCTTTATCTGCGATATCGAATTCTTTGGGTTCATCATAGTAGTTGCAGCTCCAGCTGTTCCAATGAACCGTTGTTTGTCACCAAAGCACACAATTGCAGGTGTTTCACGCTTGGACTCATCATTGAGAATAACATCAATCCCCCTCTGCCTCGCAACGGCAACAATGCAGCTCTCGTTACCAAAATCAAAACCGACCACGCTCATCTTTGGTTAATCTCCCAGCCAAAAAAAAATATCTGGAAAAGGAAAATAGATTGGTCATATTCACGCCTAATTTGCTAGCAAAGTAATTAAAAAAAATGACTCAAAAGAGAAAGAACAAACAACAAATACAAGTAGATACATCAACTGAACAATGCTCATGTCTAATAACAGAACAGGGACCCGCAGCTAACAAATACAACAGTAATTTAAACTAATTCTACCTAATAGCATAGCATTCAGTTGCAAAAATGTCTCAAAACCAAATCGAAATATTTACTTTCGATATGAAATGAAGCATTAAATAGTACATCTGCATCCAGCACCAGAAGCTGAGTGATGGAGATCAAATCATCCAATCCCTTCCATCAAAACCCAGTTTAAACTAAACTAAACACACGAACCAATGATACAATGCGAGAGAAACACTAAAAATGTGAAAACAACGAACAACCAAGATTAGCCATAAATAGAAGAATTCCAGATAAAGTTGCATGAATATAACACCGCGAACCCACAGATCTACCATCAGAGGAAGCAAAAGGAACATAAATCTAGAGAAAGAAAAAATAGGGTTTACCTAGCGAAGCGATCGATGAGAGGGAAGGGTTTTTGGGGTTCTGGAACAATCTGAAACCTTTGGACGACAACAAGGTAATAACGGACTCGCGAAGAGAGGGTAACTTCAAAAGACGGAAGCGGCTTTGCTTTCTTATAGAATTTTTGGGCTTTTGCTTTTTTATTAATTAATTTATTTATTTATTTATGACCGTCCCACTTATTAAACTACCAGTTTATAGGAGTTTTTGAAGGAAATAAGAGACGTGCTCAATTGGTCCCAGAGATCTCTGGAGGATGCTGCTTCCTTCTAGAAACATCCACAACTCTACACTTGGTATACCACTCGTTGTGGTGAAAGTCAAGCTTTTGTTTTATTTTTTATTTTTATTTTTTTAGGTTTTAAAACTTACCAATTGGGCTTGTCAGGCCTCATTTGAAGAAATATAAGCTCTGGACAAAACTTTGGTGGAAAATATTTTATTTGAATTCAGCTTTTGATTTTATTATTTAAGGGTGTGTTTGGTAGAGGGTATCAAAAAGATTACTGGTAAACCTTTTTTGATAAACGTCAATTACCATGTTTGGTAGAAGTAACAAAAATCATTTCCCGGATATCCAAAGTTTACCGGTAATTTGATTTACAAAGAAAAGTCACTATTCAGATTACAAAAAATAATGTGGTAATTCAGAATTTCAAGTAAAGGGAAAGCACAATAATAATTTTTGAGACAAAAATATCTCGAACACATATCAAAACCTAGACACAATCTATCAATTACAAAAGTAAAAATAGTTTGGGGTTATTTTTGTAAAATAACCTCATATTCCAAGTCATATTTCGTTCTAAACCAAACATGGAATCAGTAATCTTTATCCAATATTCTCGGTAATATTTTGACGAACTAAACACATTTTTTGTAAGATTCAAAGTAAACTCAATTTCTATTGTATTCCCATTAATCATGATTCCCGAATACCAAAAAATTTCTCTTGTACCAAACACACCCTAAGAGAAAAAGTATGTGTCATTTTAAAGGTTATAAAGTTGTGTCATTTTAAGTGAGAAAAAGAAATAAATCATGGAGAAAAGAAAGTGAAAAAAAATAATAAAAAATAAAGATATAAATATCACTTCTATAATAAAGTGAAATGACACAAATTATGACATTTAAAAGGACATACTTGTTTCCCTTATTTAAGTCCAAAAAATTTTCCTTTTATGGAGTGATGTGACGTACATCCAGTGCATTGTAGATTTTTTTTCTCTTGTTACACCTTTTTCTTTCCGATTAATGACTATCTAATTCAAAATGTAGATCACGATATTAGTAATACAATGAGTCAGTAACTAAGATTGTTATTATAAATTCTTACTTGTTTTTTTAGTGGTATTGCTAAATATATTAGTTAATTAAGGCAGGATTGTTTGATATGATGTCAAAAATTTGATATTAAATTATAACCGTTAATTTTTATCAATCAACGATTGTTATTTATTACAAATTAATAATTAATAATAAATGTGATTGACGGAAATTATAACCGTTGATTAGCGAAAATCAACGCTTCAGATTTGATGTCAAATTTTAAAGTTTGACACTAGTATCAAATAATCCTACCCCTAATTAATTATATCTTCACATTTTTTATGATAAACTAAGCTTATACTGGTAATTAGTTTTCCAAGCATTTAAAGTCGATTCCTTTATTCCCTTCTTTATGTCGTTAATGAACTTTGGTTTTGATCTTGAATAAATTTTGAAAGGGTTCATTTTTTATAATGTTATGTTAGAAAATTTTATTTAACATTCACCGAAATGAAATCATGTCGTTTTAGCGTGGAAATTAAAGTATATTTGTAATTCCAATATATTTCAGGGTTATAATAATCTTTATCATTCTAATTTTTACTCTTTCAATCTAAAATGACATTGTTTCGGTGAACATCAGACAAAATTTTCTTAAGTAACATTAGATACTTTATTCTCATTTTAAAAATACTAATTTATTGTTGTTTTAATTTGATCATTGAATGGTAATTTTTTAACAAAAAAATATTTAAACAAAATACTCTTAACATCAATATGTTGGTGAAATAATTTTTTTAAAATTTCTCTATCGGTTCATTCATTACCTGAATAATCTAGTTTGAGATTGACAAAAACACAAGACTAACAAAATTCTCTCTATTAAATTTTAGTGGAGATAACCCACGTGTTTGATGGTATACAACTAAAATAATGTCATTGTTGACTAAATATTATCAATTGCTAATAAATTTGATTTGAGATCACTAACATTAAATGTCAAATTTAATTTTAAAAAATCAATTATAAACTCTTCATGCCCACTTTCTTTTTAAAGTATTTCATTTTTCATTAAATTATCATTTTGCCATTTATTTATTTAATTGTTAATATAAATAATAGAATTTTGACTCGATATTTTACTTTTGAGATTAAATATGGTGACAATTAATTGTATATTCAAAGCACACTAGAAATAACACATTAGATATTTCTCTTGTCGTGGCTTTTGTTCCGACTTGACTTATTTCACCCAAATCTTATGTTGAGCCCAACTTCTCTTATTGTGGCTTTTGTTCCAACTTAGTTTCTTTCGCTTAAGTATTGTGTTGAGCCCGACTTCTCTTGTCGTGACTTTTTCATTTGAGCCCCACTTTTTTGCGGTTGCTTTTTTTATCTGAGCCCATCTTTGTTCGTCGTAGTTTTTTAGTTTGAGCCCGCTTCTTTCGCCGTTGCTTTTTATCTGAGCCCAGCTTCATTCACCGTGGCTTTTTAATTTGCGTCCATCTTCTTTCGCAGTGGCTTTTTTGTCTTAGTACTACTTCATTCTCCGTAGCTTTTTAATTTGAGACTCATTTCTTTCGAGGTGACTTTTTTATCTGAGTCGGGCTTTATTTGTCGTAGCTTTTTAATTTGAGCCCGCTTATTATGTGATGGCTTTTTATCTTAGCCTGACTTTGTTTGTCGCGACTTTTTAAATTAAGCATCGCTTCTTTCACGTTGGTTTTTTGTTTTTTATCTTAGTCCGGATTTGTTTGCTATGAATTTTCAATCTGAGCCCCGCTTCTTTCGCGGTGGCTTATTTCTTCAACAAGAAGAAAGCTATATTTCTTCCTCTCTAGGTTTAAGGTTGGATTTTTTAATTTTTTTTTTTTTTTAGATTTCTTTTCCAATTAGTTTCAGACTCATGTGCTTCACTACGAGCATGAGCTAATTTTTCTTATAGGGATTAGGGAAGCAAAGTATCCATAACACTTCTATTGTGTCATCCAAAGAACAATAGTAAAAATAAAAAAAAACAACATCTCCAACTTTAGCAGTAAGATTAGAAATCTCAAAACTTGAAATCTCTAAAACAAACAGCCGCAAATTCTTGAATTGAGGAGTAACAAGTTTTATGCTTCCTTCATGATGAAGGGTACTAGCACCGTCTCTTCTTGTTTATAAATAAAATTGTAGGTTCTTATTATTTTCAAATCAGTGAGTGAGAGTTAAATTCTTCTCTTCCCATAGTTTTCTTTTGTGTATCATCATGTGAGGATTATTGGGTATATTGGGATTAGGGTTTGAGTGCTTAAGTTATTTTCACAGTTTGTATTTCATTTTATTTTAGTAGATACTTTTGATATATCTTATGTTGGGCCGTGCACAGGGAGCTCATGGCGGGAAGATACCATCAACCATGAGCCAAGTGAGCAACAACATTAAGTGGACTCGGAATACCACAATCAAACCCAAAACCTCAAGGCATTAGGTGCATGAGTCATTTCACTTATATGGTGCTCAGTTAGTCCATTCTTAACTAATGTGGGACTTTTTCACTCAATCATTCACACTTGGATTCCTCAACATTAAAATAAAATAATTTTCAAAAATAATATTAAATTAATTAATATAGCCCAAGTGGGAGAATGTTAGAAAATTTTCTTTATGTGGCCAGTATTAATTAATTAGTTTTGTTTTTTAAAATTAATCGGTTTAATGAATATTCCAATTGCATTATCTTGATAAGCTCGTTGCGATCATGTTGAGTTGGGCTTTTGGCATCTGTTGGGATTGGCCTAGTTGGGCAGCACAATATAGGCATTAGTGTTTGATTGAGCTTCTGTGATTGATGGACTCATCAGACACACTGTTGATTGTGATTGAAGGGTACTAGCACCGTCTCTTCTTGTTTATAAATAAAATTGTAGGTTCTTATTATTTTCAAATCAGTGAGTGAGAGTTAAATTCTTCTCTTCCCATAGTTTTCTTTTGTGTATCATCATGTGAGGATTATTGGGTATATTGGGATTAGGGTTTGAGTGCTTAAGTTATTTTCACAGTTTGTATTTCATTTTATTTTAGTAGATACTTTTGATATATCTTATGTTGGGCCGTGCACAGGGAGCTCATGGCGGGAAGATACCATCAACCATGAGCCAAGTGAGCAACAACATTAAGTGGACTCGGAATACCACGATCAAACCCAAAACCTCAAGGCATTAGGTGCATGAGTCCTTCCACTTATATGGTGCTCAGTTAGTCCATTCTTAACTAATGTGGGACTTTTTCACTCAATCATTCACACTTGGATTCCTCAACATTAAAATAAAATAATTTTCAAAAATAATATTAAATTAATTAATATAGCCCAAGTGGGAGAATATTAGAAAATTTTCTTTATGTGGCCAGTATTAATTAATTGGTTTTGTTTTTTAAAATTAATCGGTTTAATGAATATTCCAATTGCATTATCTTGATAAGCTCGTTGCGATCATGTTGAGTTGGGCTTTTGGCATCTGTTGGGATTGGCCTAGTTGGGCAGCACAATATAGGCATTAGTGTTTGATTGAGCTTCTGTGATTGATGGACTCATCAGACACACTGTTGATTAGGATTTTGCTAGGTCCTCTTTCTAGCCTATTTATATTGTTTTGGTTAAGCCTCATGAGTCGTTATGCTCCAATCGCTGAAGGCTGCCATTTTGGAATAGGTCATAGAGAAGAATATTCTAATCGTGAGATCAAGGTTCTTCGCTCAGCAGATAAGATTGTCCAATCAGGTACACAAATTCCTCTTTAGAACGAAATTGATATATGGTGTTTTATCTATCATGCATGTTTCGATCTTTCGGTTGAATTATTATAAGAAAAAATCTTACATCTTGACCTATAGAGTAAGCAAAA